AGGGTTTCTCTTCTGACTCTAACAGATGCAAGTGGCATCATAATCAATCAATACTGTATTCTCATTTGTGACCTTTTCTCTGGACTCCCTAAGGGCAGAGGCTTGTTTCTTTCTGTGGCCTGAGAAACAATGAATGAACAACCCTTGTCTTAAGCAGCCTCTAAAATGGCTCCCAGTGATGCTAACCCTTCATGGGTTTTCATACCTTAGTATAATCCCTGCTACTGCTTGCAGGTACACCTGGTGGTTTGCTTCTAATGAATAGAATATGGCAAGAATGACAGGATGTCACTTCTAAAACTAGGTTATGAAAAGACTATGACTTTCATCTTTCTCTCTTTCTCCTTCTACCTCTTGGAGCCCTTGTTCTGGCGGAAGCAAGGTGCCATGTTGTGAATGGCCTTAAGAAAGGTCCATGTGGCAAGGAACTGATGTCTCTGGCTAACAGCTAGCAAGAACCTGAGGCTTGCCAACAGCCACAGGAGTAAGTTTGGAAGTGGATCTTCCTTCAGTCAAGCTTTGAGATATCTGCAGCCAGACCAACACCTTGACTGCAGTCTTGTGAGAGACTCTAAGCTAGAGACACAGCTAAGCACATCCAGATTCCTGACATACAGAAACTGAGATATTAAATGTTTGTTGTTTTAAGTTGCTATGTTTGGGGATATTTTGTTACATGGCAATAGATAACTAACACAACCTTCAACCAACAAAAGGAAATGTTGTTCAAACAGATTCAGTGACTGAATCTGCTATATAAATCATCTCTATAGGATGGAACCTATGACACCTAACAAGTTTTCAGCATGGTCTATTCAATCTTGACACCTCTAACTTCCATAACACTTGAAAGTCTGTTTTAGGGATAAGAATGTTCCCATTTTTTGAATGATCTGATACCCAAACTAAAACAAACAAAAGCCAATGGCAAACTGGCAACTGGAAAGTCCAAGTCCTCAATGTTATAATGTCATAAACTGTCTGGTAAAAGAGAGGTCAGAAAGGGAAGTATGTGCTGAAAGCTGCCCTTTCTGGTCTTGCATGAGTAATTCTTGCAGCTGGAGTTTGTCTACAACCACAGGATTGTGGCACCACGAAGGTGGCCATTTTCAAATCTGGCCAGACATTAGAATGTAATTCAACTAGATAAACCTGGGTCTTGGCCAAAATGGAGCCAATGACTAACATCACTTTTCTGTGGAACTATATGACTATGGAGTGAAGAAATAAAAGCCTTTGTTGTTTTAAAGGGCAGGGACAATTGGAAGTTTTGCAGCAGACAGTTACAAAATTTTCCACCCTTAGCTCTCCAAAGAAGATACCAGTTAGTGGCTTTGGCAGTTGGATGTGGAAGGTGTTGCTTGGAAAAGAAAATTAAATCGATCCTGGACAGAATGTAAATCAATGTTACTACATTTAGCCTAAAACAGATTATTTAGCCCCCTACATTGTATACTTATTTTGTCTGATCTACTACTTTTTATTAGCATTGTATATCAGGTAAGGCATGGAAAGCTAGCTACTGCTCCCCTCTCACAAACAGCAAATTCTCATTTTTCACAAACAGCAAATCCATGTTTTTCATAATAATTTTGGAGTTTTGTTTTTTTTTTTTTTTTTAACATGGTTGGAAAAAAAAAAAACTCTCAAAAAAATCTGCCTTAGCTTCTCTGCTTTTTGCACATCACTGCCTGGGACAGAGCACGAGGACTCACATCTGGGCACTTTCCATCTGGGGTGGGTTTTCTACATCCTTCTATGTAGATTGTTTTAAAAACGTTATCCACTCCCGTATGTTTTTTTAAAAGGGGTCTCTTTTTTCTTTCTGAATATTATCCCTATTACCTAACATCAGGGAGCTGTCTGGTACTATAATATGAGTGGAAGCTCATCAACTAAACTGGTTTTAGTTGTGTTTAAGACAGTATTTTTATCCTGTCTGTTTTCATTTTATTTGATGACAGTGCTTCTATTTCTCCCTCAATAAGCAACGATAACTTAGATCAGTGGTCTGATGAATAAGCATGAAAATTTGATTTAGAAAAGGAGAATATCCTGAAGCTCATGGAGAAAAGGAAGGATTTCCAAATCCCCATTCTCTCCAGCCCCACCACACACCTTCAATGACAAAGCAAAGCAGCAGCATTGCCTATAAACAACCTACATATTTCAACACAGTATCAACGCTCCCTGATGTTAGGTAATAGGAATAATAATTTAGAAAGAAAATAAAGAGAGTCCTTAAAAAATACAGGGCAGAAACGAAACATTTTTAAATCAAATATCATTAATCCTTCATATTGCCTTAAGACAGATACCCCATGGGGTGGGGGTGGGGGGTGCGGGGGGAGAATTAGCATCCCGGGTGTGAGGGGAAAAACTGAAGCCTTGGAGGGAAGAGAAGACGAGGACTCCCGTTGAGGGCCGGAAGGAGCATGTGAGCAGTCTGACACCTTACCCCCGCCCTACATTCGGCCCTCCAGACGCAGAAACTGGAGAAAGAGCGGGAAACGACACGGAAATGTGAAGTGGAAGATTCCCTGTAAAGTTCAGCAATAGAAAAGAAAAAAGAAGAAAAACAGAGGAGGCCGAAATCTCCCATGGAAGGGAGCTCAATTGTCAATCAGTTTTTTTCTTACTGGAGAAGAAGCGCACCAGGGGCAGCAGAGGCAACAACTTCTGCAAACACTCACCCTCAGAGCTCCAGCACCCGGAACCGAGACTGGCAGAAGGCTCGCCAGGAGTAACTTGTTTTTTTTTTTTTTAAAGCACAGGATCAATGTGTGTGTGTGTGTGTGTGTGTGTGTGTGTGTGTGTGTGTGTGTGTGTGTGTGTG